ACACACACCCGTTCTTGCACATGAGGCCCCAATAAGTCTCCTCCATTCTCCACACACACCCTCAGTGGAAATGGGGGGGGTCTTTATTCACGACAGAGGATTCTCTGAGTAGCATTACCTTGGCTAAAACTCCAGCTACAGGCAGACTTAAATTTCTCCAGAACGTGAAGAATTAGAACTGATGAGGAAAAACTCAGGAGCCAAGCCTGATGGCCTTGCAGGTCAAGCCAAAGGAACTCAAAGTCAATACCATGCTCCACAGCATAAGACACTTGACAGAATCTGCTGTCACGTCAGTATTCACCATACAACCCAGCAGTACGTAGTGACAAGATATGTCATAAGAAAAGGATCTGAACAAGGCACATTGACTCTTCAGGGAGAACAGTGACTCCAAAGCCTGCAGACTTGCAAAGGCTCAGGAAAGGCGTTCAAGTAGTGTTAGGCCTTCGCTTGTACTCAACAGAGACTGTTGGGCATGACACAGCCCGCCTTGCCACAATCTTTAACATTCTTGCATCTGTTTCATTCAGAATGTGTCTCGATGGAGGCATGTTCATGGCCAAAAACAGGCAAAAGGGATCATGGAAAACCTTCACACTGACTGGAATCGCTCTGTACTTGGCCACTGACACTGTCCCTTGGATTCTCATACACAGCGTGGCTGAGACACACAGGTGAAGGACTCTGCGTTCAGTCTGGCCCACCGTGTTGGCTCCACGAGGGCCATGAGGTTTTACAAACACCTTGAACTCACAAGGCTGGGTCTACCGTAGCTCAGAGTGTCTGAGCACATTCACTTCCCAGTGACTGGGAAGTGATTAGAACAGTCTGTCTAGGCCACATCAGGGACAATTTCACTACACTGTACCAAGACACAGAATTACTCAAAAAATTTTACAGTTCTATCCACTTTTGCCTCCACAGCTGCGGACATTGGTATAAGTATTTCGATGATCACTTACAGAACACCTTCCCATGTAAGGAGGCTCTCTGTTCTAGTTTAGTGATGTCCTTCAGCCAAGGGAACTGTGGTGGATTGACATCCAGTGGGCGACTCTTAACACCCAGCTAAACCAAACCAGCACAGTGCTGGGGGGGGGGGGCCCACTTGCAGACTGTTGCCAATAAAGTAAGAACTGGAGAAGAACCGGAGAAGAGGAGGTCGTCTTGTTAGGGCGCTGTTGGTTGTCTCGGAGGAGCTTGTCAGGCTGCTTTCCTGATATGAGCGTGGCTGTTTTTGTTCAAGGAGATTGGGACCTTGTTGTTGCCGAGAATGGCCACGGTTCACTTCGGGGGACCTCGGGTCTTTACTCTGAACATCCCTTCCTGGCTCCAGAGGCGAAGATGGTGCACTGTTCAATCTCCTTGAGAGGCCTGTCGTGCTGCCTTTCCTGACAGACTAGTCCGTTCTCATCGGAGGAGCTCAGGTCTTCATTAGCACTGGGGATGGCTATGGTGTGTTTTGGGGGAGCTCTGGTGCTTTGAGCATTGCTTGCTGGCTCCAGTGCAGATCCCTCAGCCTGCTAGCACAGATCCTTCATCCCACGGGCACAGACTGACCCTTGGGGCCTTCTCAGGGCAGATCTGTGAAACAGGGCCACATGAGACTCTGTCATGGGCTCTAGGCCTCTGGTTGGGCTCGAGGGAGGGGACATTGTTTGGGGCTCTAGGTCTTCAGATGAACTCATGCAAGACATTACTGTGGGATCCAGGCCCCTCAGCTAGGGTCTTTGGGACTTTAGCATGTGGACAGATTCCCTGCAGACTTCGCAGGGAATTCTTTGGGTGACTATTATACCAAATAATCTTATTAATTATGTGCCCTGTATTGTTTCCCTTGCAAACCCTGACGACAGCGGTCCTACATCCTGGATATGTGCTGGAGATGTATGAAGGTGACCATGGTACAGCTCACGGACATTCTCTCCTGTCCCCAGCACCTCCATGCGTTCACCTCTTTAAATGCACATACAGAACAAGAAACTCTTGAGTGTTTTGAATATGGATCAGTTTCAAGAAGGCCAAGCCAAGCCTGTCCCAACCTGTTCGTTGGGCTTCATCACTCCTTGGTGACCAGCTCCGACTCCACACCCACTTAGTGAGGCACCAGGCAGAGTCAGACCTTGAAATACAAGTATTTACCAACCTCTCCTTGGGGTACACTTGCCACTACAACAAATCCCATCTCTAGCTCCAGGCTTCATTCTGAGAATGCAACAAAAAGCCCATCCCTTGTACAATGGCATAACCAAAGAAGGGGTAGATCTGTCCTGCCCTGCAGCCAGAAGCATGTGAGGATCTTCTAAAGCCCTGCTCCATGCTCTACTCTTGGCTCAGAAAATATGCCTAGCTGGGCAGTGTGCATTGAGAGGTGCCCTCGATGGATGGGAGAGGACTCTTAGAATGACAGCATGAAAAAAAAAAAAATCTACCCTTGCCTTCTAAGTCGCCTGGACTCTAACGTAGGCACATTTTGCTTTTTGGAGGAGGAAAATGACTTCAAGATAAAAGTTCTGTGGCAAGAAGAATTTTCTTCCTGCCACCCTCTTTCTCTTGGGGCGTAGTGGTGCAGAAAAGGCAGCAGGAAGCTCCACAGGGAAGATAGGGGACATCCCAAGTTTCCACAAGCGCCTGTAGAAGGTAAAGCGCATCACATTACTTGTAACCAAACCAGCAGCTCAGTGAAGATGCTCTGAACATGACAGCTTCCTGTCCAAAGGCGCGAGATCCATTCAAAGACAGCTCAAACCCAGGTGCAAACTCCACCTCCCCGTGGCCCTCTCAGTCTGCATGAAAGTGAATCTCCTTGCTCAGAATGCAAATATCGGGAGAAACCACATCACGGGAGGTCCCACGGTCCCACGGGACAATGTTAGGATTGTCCTTCACTACTCTCCCTCAGGAAATTCCTTCCTGCCAAGGTCACTAGAAGGCCGCAGGCGAGGTGGTGACTGAGATAGAAGTGCTTTCTGAAGGGCCAAACTATCGCCTGGTCCCTCCCTTCTGTGGGCACCAGAGAACACCTTCAGCTTCACCTTCCCCATGGGATTTCCATGTCCCTTCCGGAGTGGAGCTTAGTTCAGGACACACCGAGTGTGGAAGTTGGAGTTTATTCACCCAGCCCTACAACGTGACCTCGGAAAGGGCTTAATGGACAAGGTCCGTCATGAGGAAAGACATTGCTTGAGCAACAGAATGTGTCCGGTGACCAAGGGAGGCAAAAATCAGAGTTTCTGACACTGCAGCCATTTAGAACTGCCCATTGCGGCCGGCACAACTAACACCCGCCGCGTTGTGGTTAAACTTCCTCTGCCCAGTCTGCCTCCTCTCCCGTCCTTACTAAGGATGAAGGATCCTTGCTAAGGATGAATCCATAGCAAACATGTTCAGCACGCCAACTCCAAAACCTCGACCTGTCTATTCATGGCGCCACACAGGACCAAGTAAGTGGGGTCCAAGAACTCGGACTCCCCAGGGACAGAGCCCTCCTGCAGACAGGTGTTCCTGTACCCCACTTTCTATACATAAAAGCGAGTTTGCAAATCCATTGTTGCCTCTTGCAGGGGCTCCTAAGAGAGTGGCTCTGCACACGGACCCCCACGGGGTAGTTGCTGTTCCAGCCAAGGTTAGCTCTCCCACACCCCCTCAGAAGTCATGAATAGGAAGGGAGGAACCTAGGACTCCTGCCAGGGAATGAGAGAGACCTGGGTGTTGTAATGGTGCTTGCCTGATAGAAGCCCGGTGGGCTTGGGTTTGGAAGACGGGCACTTTCTGGCCTTGAACAATCAAAACACAGGCTTATGCAGAATTATTACCCTTTCATTTGCTATGTGAAAGGGGAATTCCTTGTACTTATTATGACACTTTCACATGTTCTATGGTAGTTGATACTTTTGAACACATTGCTAGAACTCAGAAGAACTCCTAGCAATGTTGATTCCAGGGGAATTTATACTTGAGGAAGACTGGAAAGTTGCCTGGCCACACCCTCATTTTCTTTTGTTTCTGAGAACAGCTCGGATTTGCACTCTAAGAACTTCTATGGGTACCAAAGTTAGGAGACTCTGGTGGGAGAGAGACCAGAGGATACCGAACCATGCGCGGCTTGAGCATAAACCCCAAGGACATCATCTCTCCTGAACTTAGCTTGCAGCACAGCTCAAGCAAACAGGAATCTTTACTTGAAGATTCAACTGTGAAGGCTTCTATTCCATGACGGCAAAGGACAGCGCACCCACAGCGCCAAGTTCCCCTTGCAAATGTGTAAGTTAGCCGTCTCTGGTTTACCTGAGCCTCTCTGAAGAACTTGCATGTGAGCACAGTGGGGAAGAGGGCCCTCTTGGGTCTGGCTTAAAAGGATCTCTTTTCCCCAAGTACAGCAGACTTGCAGAGACGCAGACAAGCATCTCCATTCCAATATGAAGAACTCAGCACTCAGTTAAATGACACAGTGTTTTGTTTCCAACCTTGTTGGGCTTTAGTGCCACAAGTTTCACCTGAAGTTTTAACTCACAGGTTTGGGGATACCATGGCTCAGCTCCAAGTGACCCAGGGAGTTCACTCCAGGTTGCTGGGAAGTGACCACAAGGGTCTCTTGAAACCCCAGCTGCTTTGTTCTTCTTTTCCATACCATCTCAGGCTCAGAATCAAAGTTGTCAAACTGCTTTTCAACTTTAGCTTCTATAGCTGCTGAAACGAGTGTTCTGAGCAATGAGCTCCGGAAAGACACCCACATAAATACAAGTTTCCCTTTTCTACAAGAATGACTGTTCCCTCAACCGTGTGAGTTGTCCAAGGTAAAGACAATGGGCTGGAGGCCACTCAACCAGGCATCCTTCCCGATTCTTCTAGTGTGTCATGGGATCTCTGCCCAGCTTCTAAGGCCTAACCCTAGGTTTCCTGGTTCAATATATGCAATCCTTCCATGCCAGCCCTTTGGCAATTCTGACCAGCTCCGCACAGCTTCTCAGAGCTACTCAGGTCTGACCTTGAAGAGGATGGAGGCGACAGGCGGCCCCGGTGCTGTGGAACCCGGCCAGATCCGGTCTCTGAAGGCTTGGTCTGTTGCGCTGCAACCACACCCGCGAACAGCACGCATGGCATGGCGGCCTCTTCCTTGGAAGAGCTGAGCAACGAGGTTTGTGATGTTCTGGCCATTGACAAGGCCCTGACACCCGTTACCCTGGTCCTAGCAGAGGATGGTTCCTTCCTGTAATCATCTTCCTTCCAATACTACGTTTGTGGCCTTGCCCATAAGGGGAAGCGGACATATAGAGCAACTCAGACGGAGGCACAGCTTCGATTTCCCAGGAGTCCTTTGAAGCAGATGAAACAGACAGCGGGGCAGGGGTGGAGTGGGAGAATTCAGCCAGGGAGCTGAAAGGAGATCTGCCCAGCGTCATCCTGCTGTCAGAGGAGGACTCCCAGGTGCTCACTGATGTGCCGCGTCCGTCCGTACCTGGCTCAGGAACTCAGCCAGAGCTGTGCCGCTGTCCAGCGGCTACAGGACACGCTGCAGCAGGTGCTTGACAATCGAGAAGGGGCCCGGCAGTTCCATGGGCTCCTGCAGCTTTACCGCCAAGCTCTGGACAAGAGGGCAGCATCCTGGCAAGGCGGGAAGAGTCCAAAGCTGCCCTCAGGGAAGAGGTAGATGCCATGCACATGGGCATCAGCGGAGCGCATGCCTCCGAAATCCCACTTACATGCCAGAGCCTCTCGGCGCTGCAGGAAGAGCCGGCTCCCGAGCTGAGCTTGTCTCTTTGGGATTTGGAGTGCAGTGTTTGCCATCAACCATGAGTGGAAATCAGTGCTCATCTCCATAAGGTATCTCGAGACATTTCATGATTTTCAACCCAGAGACCAAGGCAGATGAGATAAATCCCCTCTGGGAAGCAACAGCGTCTTTATTCTTTAGAGTTGTCTTAGTGAAGACTTCAGTGTCCATCTCACATTCATCATTCAGATTTTGCATAAGAAATCAATCAACTATACCCAAACTTGCTGCAGGATTCCAGTTTTCATGCAAATATTTAGAATATGACAGGAGAAAAAAGTGGCTTCGTTCAGTCACTCAACACAAGATGCGAGTAAAGCAAGCTGGAGGGGGAGATGCCAACTCACAGATCTGTGAGATGTGACAGTTGGACACCCCCCCGCCAGGCCCTTCATTCCGACCACTTCACGTACTGGAAGAAAGCTCTGAATTGGTCAGTCCCCGAGGATGGGCTTGCTTTGGTTGAAGACAGCTGTCTCCTCTTATGTTACCTTCTGCTTCCTGCATGGGCCCTGGATAAGGAGTGATCAACAGACATGCAGGCCCCACGCTCTCCCCTCTACTGGGATCATCCAACCCTCAAGATCCCTTGCGATTGGGCCAAGCCTTCTGCCAAGTGCACACAACCCTTCAGGTCCTGCCTGCCTGGTCCCTTTTCCATCTTGGTTTCAACAGGTGTCAGTTCCTAGAACAATCAGTGCTGGCTCTTGCTCGGGCTCTTACCTCTTAGCTAGAAGATTCTCAGATGGAGGCCAAATGCCCTTGACCCTATTGCCGAGGACTGTACACAGTACCAGAGCCAAGGGTTTTGGCACCTCTGCTGTGCATGTTGCAAATCTCAAAATGGGCCAGTCAACTGCCTTGGGACATTTTAGAAACCAGAGCAGAAGATGCATCTAACTTCTGTCCCATGGAAACGAGATCAGAGGGTACCCAGCTGCAGCGGGGGGTGGGGGTGGGGCTCCTGCACAGCCTCAAGATGCAACACAGGCCCCGGAGTGTACTACAGCTTCTTTTCCTACTTTAACATGCTGGTCTACTTTACCAGAAGCTGTATTCTGTTCTCAAAGGCAGATGCCAAAGCTACTTAGCACACCTGTGGGAGGCTGGCATCTCCTGTATCTCAGCCAGTTGCCAGCATGCCTAGCATCACTGTTATGGGAGTTTCAGCCACCACTTGGCAGATATTGAGAATGCCAACAACCATGCTGGAGGGTTCCTGGGGCTTTAGATGCTCTGCCTGATGAGGCACCCCTGCCCAAGTTCCTTTGTCTTCTGAGGTCATCTCTGTATTGAGCACAAATGCTGAACATAGTAGGACTCACAGCACCGGACCATCCCCATCCAGTGCACTGAGCTGTCGACAGATTAGCTACAAGTGGGACGTGCCCCCGAGCACTCTCAGCTGCATGCTGTATTGCAGCTGTTACAGCAGGCAGACGTGCAGCTCCACACACTACTTTTCCTCCTGAGGCAGGTTCTTGATAGGTGAAAGGCACATCTAGAAACAGCACTAGGTAGAGCTTTAAACAACTGGTCAGGGAATGTGATGTCAAACAAAACTGCAGAAGTCTGTACAAACAACACACGCGATCCCGTTCTGTAGTCCTCTGCTCTCCCAGATCAGGTCTCAAGGATCTGAGGCTCAGTTCAAAGGCACTGTGCTGCTTCATACAGTATTCTGGAGACAGTGTCACAACAGTCTCCCTGGGCCCGTTTATGCATCAAGCATTTCTACGCCTTCTCTGGTTGATGTAAATTTCAAGAGCCACTTTCTCATTTCTGGCTGTGTGGTGCAATGAAAAAGAGACACAGACTTGATCACCACACCTGGATAAAAATATGGACTCTTCCCTTAAAATTTAGGAAAGGCATTTGGCTCCATTTTCTGAGGGGAGGGTGGTGGTGACTCAGGTCAGCGTCAGTGTCAGCTCCTTAAATGATCAAGTAGCGGCATGCTAAGGGTCAGGATCTGGCCAGCTGGCAGCGAAAAGCTACAGTCCACTGTGTGCACCGAGCTCTGTGGTATGTTGGACGCCCGTGGTGGCGAACAAGGGCATGTGTGCCACAGCAGGCTGCGTGTATCACTAAAAGTTTAGCTGTTGCAGATTGTGAGAACAGGAGCCTTTGTCTGCCAGGTTTCTGGGAGTTTCAGAATGCAAGATGCCACAGTATGAAGTATATGCCTGGATTCCTAACCCCACCTGAGTTACAGGCATAAACAATACCTGAATCCTGAGTCTTCTGAGACGTGCTCAGTCTAGTTCCCAAGACACTATTATCTGAGTCCCTCTCATGGTGCCAGCTAATGTTGGGTGGCCTGAAAGTTTCCCCAGGAAACATGGCTGGAGCTCTATATATGGGGAGGCCAGGTGCAAAGGGTTGGTGCAGTCCATGGAAAAAGACAACACCCATCACTTAGTAGCGTCAGGGGCAGGGAGCTGATCCCACTCTCTAGCACTGGAACTTGCGGTAAGTGAGGCTATGCCTAGAGAGACTAAGAAACTTTCAAGATACCACTTTATCAGCTACGGCTTAACTCAGCAGCTAAACTGGAAGCTGGGGACTGAGAGAAGTATCTCTGACGGGTCTGCCTGTTCTGTGCACGTCCTCATACTCATATTCAGAAGGTGAATAGAGGTGGCCAACATAACCTAGCCAGAGCGCTAAGGAGCCCTGGAGAAGGACCAGGGCTTGCCTCTTTGCAGGGTAAGTAAAGTCACGGAAGCTTTTCACCTGGCTACAAGCACAGTTGTCTATAGCCCAGACAGCACACCCCACGTCTCGTCTCAGGCCCTTGGGCAGGGCAGATATTCCATCTCTTCTAAACTGTCGTAGGAACACATGTTGAATGCTCCGGTTTGTGTAGCCGATTGAACTGCTGCGCTGATCTACAGCTGCCATGTCAGCAAAGCCACAACATGCTCGCCAGCCGCATACCACCTTTGTTCCGGGTCAACTGGGACTACTGAGGGATGTCTTCAGGCAGACCCTTCACCCAAATTGTGATGCCATATGAGAATCTGCTTCATGCTGGGTCTCAGGGTAACTGTGATAAAGACCTGGGATGAGAACCACGGTATGAAATGGAACAAAGAAAGCAGCTAAAAGGCAACCACAGCCAGACGCATCTCTCGGAACATTCACCCAGTACCTTCTGGTGAGGGATGAGGCCCCATTACCAAGAGCTGCTAGAGATGTTTCCCTTAGATTTCTGGGAGTTCTGGCAGCCATGACCATTATCCATAGGAGCCCCTGATATCCAGCTCACCAGAAGAGAGAGTTTGGGTTTAGTCACCATCGAATTCTCAGCATTGTGGGATTCAGGGGATTTATCTGCAGGATTTGGAGTCTCCTTGACACTGCATTAGGGTGCCTTCAGTGACACTGATGTCCACCATGACTAATGACACCCACAACTTCTAGATCTGGAAAGTACATCTTCTGGTTGTGTATCTGGATTTTTCATTTTAAATCATGAACTCCCTCAGCGTGGTTTTCTTACATACAGTAGTAGAGTCCGTGCAAGAGGTTGGTTTCCCCTTGGTTTTTACAGCCAGTACACAACCCAGGCAACTCTGGACAACCCAGATTGATTACATCAATGACAGCCCAATGAGTATAACACTTCAAGACTTGCTGAAAGCGGGGAAGCTCACTTCCGTCTTGTTAGTGAGAGTTACCAAACCATGCATTGGGAAATTAAAGAAAAGCCATATCTTTTACAGTACTGCAGCACCAAAAATTAGTCACAAAACTAAGCAGGCACTTGATCACCCCCCAATTTTGCATTTGATCCCAAAATATTGTTCCTTCCCAACCAAGTTCATTGAAAACCTGAAGCAGCTCAGGCACTGAACTTACTCTTGTAGAAAGAGACATTGAGACTACTAGTGCCCAGCCATTTGACAGGAACCATGGGCCTCTGCACAAAGTGGCCACTGCTACCTCTCATACACAAGGGAGGAACAGGGCAAATCATGCTGAGTTTGCCAAAGATGCCTGGAGGCTTCCGGGCAGGGAATCTCATCACCATTCCATCCACCTGCCATCCACCAACCCACTGTAACTCAGCCCAGAATAGGGGCAAGAATGACCTCAAACACCTAACTATGAAGTGAGGAAAGGGGCACGTGCTACTGCATCTAGGACCTAACTCTACTCCCGGGTCTGATTGTTATTTACTCTTCTAAGCAGAAGGAGGTTCTGCCTCAAAGATGGGAGCTCTCAAATCAGGATGAGGTCTCAGCCGCCAGTCAGCACTGGTAAAGCAAGAGGGGGAAGTAATAGAATGCCATTTAACCCTTTCCCATCCCTCTGAGGGGAAAGCAGGGGATCCCAAGGGGCCGAGAGAGGGGAGCCTGTCCCTGAAAGAGGCCAGCATATGGTCACTGGCAGGTCATGAACCTGTCATGGTCTACAGAAACAAGAAACAGCTCTATTGTGTTGAGACATATGGAGAGCTCCTCTTTTCTAAGCTTGGGGGAAAAGTAAGTCTGCAGATAGATGTGCAGCCCCACTTCAGAAATCGATCTGAATTGAAGGGATTAGAAACCAGATGGAAGATGGAGTTCCAGCTAAACAGAAGATAGCTCCAGTTCTGAACCCCTCAGTTTCACAGTATGTGCTGGGGAGTGGAGGCGTGGAGGGGAAGGAATGCCGAGGAGGGAGGTTCTGCTCCCATTAGGGGAGGCCCAGGCATCACAAGAGCTCTGGGTACCAGCCTGGGGAAGGATGTCAGACAGGAAGGCGGGGAGAGGCCCATTAGGTACCCTACCCTGTGAATGGGGAGCAGGTGGCGAGTCTGGGCCTGTCCTTTCGGATAATCCTGGGGGCAGGGTGCTTTCTGAGCGTTGTACTTCTTGAATCTGATTTCTTTGGCATTTGGACTTTAATCCTTCCTTTCTGCACTGAAGCGACACACTAGGCCCCCTTTCCTTGGGACAGGGATTCCTCTGTGCCTCCCAAGCAGCAGGGAAGCAGACTTTCGTCCTCATGGGTTAGAGGCAGACTCTGAGATGGT